GTTTTGTTCTTCTACACAAGTGCTTGTTATTGTACTTGAGTCTTCACAAGACGAGTCGCTCTTGGTTGCATTTCCTCACTAACACGTACTGTTCGACGATGTAGAATGTTCTTCATTTTCGATCCCAATTGTGGTATTGAACAGAAACACACAAAAGGAAATAATAAATAAATAAAATATGTGAGAAAACCAATCCGTTGCAGTATCGTGATTATGAAAGGTGCCGGAGCTGCTATAACCCATAAATAGGCAATTGCAAATGGTAGATTAAATAAAAGATAGAGACATGAAATAGAAACAAGTTGAAAGATCATTAATCGATATTTTCGCCAATTTATTGATTGTCGAAGACGAGTTTTTGATCGATAAACTCGAAATAAAAGTGCTCCATTACATAACAATACAAATATCGTTGGAGATAAGATATGAATACTTGTTTGCCACATACCTAGTATTGGATCCCTTGACTGACAACCATAATAACATATGTTATGGACAAAATCCACTTCATTTTCACATGGATAGAAATAGCTGGAATAAATATAGAATATGAAAATATAAATGTTGATGAGAATCGGTGGCATATAATGAAAACAAAAGTTTTTCCATTTTACATTAAATAGATTAAAATTAAAAATGAGAAGATGCCGTTCAAATGATGCCCATGCAACTAAAAGATTCATCATACAAGAAGACGCAGTCTCAATAAACGACCTAGTTTTACATAATACAAGAGACCAATGGATAGTTGGTTTTGATCTGTGTGAATCAATTACTGTTGGAATCATAAAAGCGGTGATGATAAAGGAATGACATAATGTAAATAAAATAACATAATTATTTGGTGCCGAACGAAGAGCTTTATTAAAAAGAATAAGAATAAACACGATAAGATGCATGAGAATAGATGAAATATCAAAGGTTAATAATAATATGAATGATATATTTTTGGAAATAAATGCAAATGGGCTCTCTGTTTCATCTTGTTCAGTAACATTTGTATTTTCAGACATATCCATTTTTGCGAGTTTTGCTTGCAACTTAGAAAATGATATACAGAAGAATGACGGAATGAAAATAATTTTGGATGAATGACAGATAGAGAAAAGCTTTGAAGATATCAATTAGGAGTTGGTCGATGCATTAATTCATAACGTATGAAAAAATTTGTGATGAAAAAGAGAGTGGAAAAAAACATTTTATAAATGAATGAAGTAGGTCATGGCAACAAAAAAAATCATGAAAACAAATTCTTTGATCTCAGTTATACTTGTTAAGGATGTAAGAAAAATAATTTGAGTACGTAAAATATTGAAAGTAAAAACAAATAATGCAAATCTAAAGACTAGCATTGATATAATTTTAGTATTCTATTAGAATAGAAATAATACATTTTAATTACAGAATTTAATTTTGAGGATTAAGATGGTTGATATCTCTTTTCTATACCAAAATCATCAATTGAATTTAATATTAAATACAAAGCAATTCTATTGATTGATCTTTCTTCTATGTTGCTTTTCATATCTGAATATTTTTGCATATTAATCTATTCAAGATTTGTACTATGATTTGGATTTATGAATCACATTGAGGTAAGAAGAAAGATCATTACAGACGTGACGCTCATTATTAATTGATAGTATTTAATTCGTAATAAGTAGTATCACAGATCGTGACATACGCTATTAATTGGAGCAGTAACTGATGTGACGATACCTATTTTCTGCTTCATATTTGAATTTCACGGGAATTGCGCTAACAGCTTTTTATCTAAGTAGTGTATTAGGGAAAAAGAATCTATCCATGAATATAATATCAGGCCTCGTAAGCGTATTACTTTTTTGATATAAAAAAAAAGAATCCAGGTATAACTATTATTACGAAAAAGTCCTGATTTTTTAAGATAAATTCTTAGATCATTCTGTATGCATAATTATACGGCATGTTTTTTATTTTGAAATTTTTTGTAATTGTTTAAAAGTTTCAATTATTTAAAGTTTTAAAAATAGTTAACTTTGTATTAGCGTTTATCACAACTGTTTAAGCTGTACGAATATCGTCCATTCTCTTTTTTGTTCATATCCGCAGCGAATCTTATACTTCTTTGCTTTAATACTTTAGTTGCATTAGTATAGCAACATACGTAGCAACATTGGAACAAGTTATAAAAATCCCGATTTTTCGAATATATGTTGCCGCAATCTCTGTATAATATAACAACACATTCAGACGAGTTTTCATCTTAATCCGTATAGAATTCAATGATAAACGGTTCATTAATCTCTTGACACTTTCTTTTCCAGCTCATTATTAGAGAAGAAGAAGAAGAGAAAATAAAATTTTATTCCATTAGATGATGTTATAAAATATTTTATCTATATAATTTAATAAGAGTGCATTTTTCTCATTTTATAACACACTATTTTGAACTATTATTTTATAAAATATATGTGGCAGTCAGTTACGGAGTTTAGTTGAGTTTGGAATGCTATAAATAAAGAAATTATTTCTCTATTTTTAATTTACCAAAAAAAGAGAATTCAGAATAGTTCATGGTTGTAGATTAAATTTTATGTATGAAAAATATTTTCTTTTGCTAATAACAAAGTAAAATGTTGCCTATTTGAATAAATTCAATTAATTTAAGAAAAGAAGAAGTTCAGATTAATGATAAAATTGATGAAAAAAATTGATTTTTTGATTATTTAGGTGTTTCATTCATTATGAACATTGTGTTCTAAGCGAGATATACGCGACATCTTGAGGGTGTGGGTGTGAGTATCATGTTCTTTTCAAATACATCTAAGCCGCACCCACACCCTCACATCTGCCATACGCATCATATAAGATTGTATAGTTTTCCTCAGAAGTTACAAATTAATTTTTTATTAGATAGCTTATTCAGACAGTATTCATTCGTGTTCAAATTTTTGTATTACAAGATTATACAAGTAGACGATTTTTTGTTTGACCTGGATGTTGTGGACTGCTTTAGTTGCGTATCAATTGAATGCTCGGTAGAATTTTCTTTGAGTAGCTGTTCCATCGCTTTTGAAAATCGATTGAATTCATGTGGTGGCAGCAGTTGATCTCGATACTTCTGTGTAAAGATTTGTGAGTATGTTTTCTGTTGCCTATCTCGATCTTCTACTAGAGTTTGGGCATAGTCAAGCATCTCTGTTCCTGATATAAATCTAAAGAGATCATAAATTTCTTCCATAATGTCATGTTGATTAAACCAGAGATGAATATCGCTACGTGTCCATTCACGAATAGGAGGAAAATCGATAATAGTAGACTGTATCTCTTGAAGTGGACTCTTCTGTCGAATGAGTTCGTTGTGAGTCTCATGGTGTGAAGGTGCTGTTAAAGTTGTGTTGATATTTTTACCAGGAGAAATTTCAGCTCGTACTCGTTCCATTAAATCCGCTATTTCCGACTGCTTCGGTTCGCTAGTATTCCGAAATCGAATATATTTCATTCCAGCTTTTCGTATTCCTGAATAAACAAGAAAAATGATGTGAACGTGTGACACATTATATGAAAGAAGAGTCATGAACATACCTAACCAACCTTTTGGTTTATAGTCACCAATGAGAATAGGAATAATAGGCTTTTGTAAATCATCAATAGCATAAGTCAACTCTTGCCGACATGATTTACTTTGATGATAATATTCGGATATAAAACAAAGAATAACATCGGCATGCTCAATACCATCTGCAATTTTCTCCCATAGATCACCCATTGCACATTGTTGAATATCAATCCATACTTTCAATGTATCTTTCGTTTGTTCGAATTCTTTTAAAATATGATAGCAAAACTTGTCGTCTTTATGAGCATAACTGAACATTACTAATGGCACACGCTTATTCATCGATAATCGATCTTTTTCATCAGAAGACCTAGTCAGATAAATATCTTTATTCTTTGTATATCATTTTCCTCATTGTGCTTTCTCTATAAATATGAAAGATGTGACTATATTTTTGAGTGAAAGCATGGAGATATGAGAAGATTTTGCAATCATCATTTAAATCTCAGTCTCATAATCAAACAAATTTATATAATGAACGTATGCTATAAAAGACTGTAACAATCTCAATTTTGAACTAGTATTGTAGTGAACTTTAGTTTTCACTTTTTTGTTTGTTAGGATGAGAATAATTTAAAATTCTTTAATTATATTTGAACTTGAATTTATTAACTGCTCCAGAATATATACTTCTAATTATACATACATATCCTCTCCGTTGATATCTTTTTGTTCTGAAGATCGTGAACGATGAATTGGTGCTCTCTTTGATTTGCTCGTATGAAGCTTCGTGTCTACATGTAGATTGTACAAAATACCGTCAGCTGCTTTCTTTATACTCTGCAGAGCTCGAGGTTTGTATTGATCACACATCTGACTGCGTTCATCCATGGCGAGTTTCTTAACAGTATCTATTAGTTGTATGTTTCGTTTTAATTCTTCTTGATATTCTGACTGAAATGAGATACTCCAAATGATATTGTATAGAGCGATACACGCGAATTGATTGAGCGGATCCGTACTAGTGATTAAATTGCTGAAAGCGATGAGAAGATCGGCAAATAGCTTAAAGGTAGAAAACATATTGGATGGTGGTTCTGTTTCGGCATGTGCCATGACATAGTCAACTGTTCGTTCATCAACAACAAACAGTTTTGCTAAGACAGCTACTAGATGTGAGACATGGTAAAGAACACCTTTACATGTAAAATCTTCCTTAGTTGCAGCTTCCATAGTTAATTGCAGTAATTGATTAAGAACGACATTCATATCTTTTTGGTCATGTTTGAGTTGCTCAGGAGTGGATAAATGAGCAATTGCTAAGGAACAACACAATGATAGTTTATCATTATGTGCAATGTCATCTCTAAAAGGAGAAGAAAATGATCATATTTGAAAACTTACAACAAAAAAAGCATTTACCTTTTCTGATACTTCTTGATTACTTCCATAGCTTCAAGCTTATTATATTCATCTGCGCCATCATCATGCCGTGCCATATTGTAGATAATCCTTATCAATGGTTCGGTCGCTTCTACATTCAAACAGTTAGAATTAGTCAACCATCTGACAGCACTGCTTGGTAAATCGAGTACAATCAATGATGGTACAAGTATTGTTCGATTTGCCATACACCAAAAGAGGATTAAAATTTCAGCAGTAACTTTATCAAATGTTTCCTGCTCGGACGATAATTCACTCATGACTTTGTTATCCGCATACGCTTTTAAAATCTTTAGAAGTGTCATATAATCATTTACTAACTCGTTAGTAAACGGAACATAATTACACGCCATAAGAGTAAAAGATAGTAAAATATAGAAATACTGGCCAAAGCTATTATTGTGTAACATTACAACATTGTCGTTGCTCAGATAATGTTGATTGACAACGAGCATATTGAGCAAATCAAGACAAGAATAAAATACTTCGTAACAGAGAGGACCGTCTTTTTTTAATCGGTTCTCAAAATTTAGACCATAGTAAATTTTATTGGCAAATATGGAAGAACAATCTTCATACCATGTGACATTAGTCGTTGTGGCCGAATTCATCATTGATTCCATCGTTGTTTTCCAGGATATTAGAGCTTTTTGCCACACTTTCTTCATTTCTATATTTGAACTGTTTTTATCATTTGTATTATTTCTAACTTGTTCGACAAGTTCATCTAATTCCATTTTAAACTTGTCAATTGCATTTGTGCATTCGTTAAATTCGGAAGATGATTCACTAGTTGTCATGTTTACTTTCTATTGTTATCTAGAATATAAAAAAGAAAAACAATACAGTAATAATATATTAATCTATCAGCTATTATCCGATGATAGATCACATGTAAGTAAAATCTGTTACATGGTTTTTTAGGGAGACGGCCAGTTGCTCGCAGGACAGTTGCTCGTGGGACAGTTGCGCGCGGACATTTGCTCACCGGACACTTGCTCGCTAGGACACTTGCTCGCTAGGACATTTGCTCGTATGGACAGTTACTCGTATGGACACTTGCTCGTCGGACAGTTGCTCGCCAGTACACTTGCTCGCCAGAGTATGAGTGTGGGTGAGGATGCGAGTATTGATGCCAGTGTGGGTGAGGATGCGGGTATGGATGTTAGTGTGGGTGAGGATGC